GTTGTGTGTGTGTGTGTGTTTGTGTGTGTGTGTGTGTTCCTGCCCCAGGTATTTCACAAATCAGTGTACAATCAAATGCCCCTTTACTTTTAATAATCTTAGAAGTAAATTCATTGGGAGGCCAAAATCCTATATCCTAAATGTAGAGGCTTGTCTTGTGCACATGTGGGACTCTGTTGTGACCTGTTTCCTCACTCTGGTTTTACCACATTGAAGCAGCTTATGTCTAGAGGGTTCCTCTTGGATTATTGAGAGAGTTCAGAAAGTTCCCAGTGTGTTACAGTTTTACTATTACCTCCAGCTCCAGTGGAAGTTGTCAGAGGTTATGGACACTTAAATTATGTTGTGTGCGATGAAATAGGTCTCTTACTATTTCAATAAAACCCACTTTCAGGATTTACTTACATGTTTCTTTTTAAAGATTATTTAAATCACCCCTTTAGTGCTTGCTAATGGATCTTAAATAACTGATATAATCTCGAGAGTTTTTTATTTTGCTTTTCCATTATTTTGCTTTCTGTAAGAGTAGTATATAGGGCAGTCTATATGATTCTTAGGAAAACTCATTTTTAAGTTTTCTTTACGAAGTAGCCCTTCTTGATTTTAGTTTTAGGGTAGTCAATTTAATATGTGACTTTAATATTACCATCCATATGTAAGGTATTTATTAGGTTACTGTTTGTGTTGGTACGCATTTATCATTCATTTTATTTACATATAAGAACACCAATAATTAAATATGCTGAGAAAGTATTTAATTACATAGATTAAATAGTAAATGTGAAAATACAAATGCCTATTTTTGTAATAACTAATCTGAATTTTAGTTAATTTGTTCAAGTGTATTGAAATTTCCAGGATATGAATTTATCATTTCTCATTTCTTTGATGAACATTGACAGACTAATATATTTAGTGGTCCCTTCCTGAAGTGAAAGGAGGCATTACTTTGAGTTAACACTAAATATATTCTGCAGTATCTTTTAAAAATAATCAGACTATCTGACTTAATGATTATGAATTTAATAGCTTGAGAATACAGTTCATGATAGATGAGTTGATAATATCGCAGTCTACCTTCCTAATTAACTATCAGGGGTCTATCATTATTCAACAGCTTCTTTAAGGCTAAGTAAACATGATGTTAATTAAACTCACTGATAATGCTAGGGGATGCTGATTGCTGCAACAAGGAAAAGACACCCATGCAGCCTGACCTTAAGAAATGCTAAGTATGGGAATGTTGGCAATGATAACAGGCAGCAAACATTAAGTAAACTGACTCCCCAGTCAGTGTTACTGAGAGAAATTGGTACAGGTTTGAAATGTGTTCTCTGAAGATTAGGAATAAGCCTTTTAAATAATCTACTTTATTTTTCTATTGCTGAGGATTTAAATCTAGGGTTCTCTTACATGCTAGACAAGTGCTTGATTACTGAACTATTCCTGGGGCCTTTTGTAGTTGTTTTGTTTGTTTGTTTTTGAGAAACAGTCTCACTACATTGCACATGCCAGCCTTGAACTTGCTCTGGACTGCAGGTCAGCCGTATGTTTGCAATCTTTTGGCTTTAGTCTTCTGCATGGCTGGGATGTCACTAGCATCACCAGACTCTGTTGAAGATATTTTATACGAACTCTGAAATGTCAAATCCTCCATATCATTTAGAGGCTTTCAGAAGGCTGGCCTCACAGGGCCTCCTGTGGATTAAGACTGCAAATTACAGTCAAGTCTTACAAAGGGGGAAGGTGGCACCCAGTAGACTCAGAATGCCCTGAACACTTTTTGGTGAAGTTGAGGAGGTGTCACTTTGGAGTCATTACTCTTTCTGGATACTGGATTGATCAAGGAGAATAAATGGGCTAATGTATATTGAAGGAAAGCAAACAAATGCAAGAAAATATCCACTTCACCATCACTGGGTATTTACTGTGGTCTTTGTGCATGTTACTTTGTGCATATTACTTTGAAATCTAGCTATTTATCTGATAATTCCTTACTGGTAGAAATGGTAAAAATTAGGTGCCTTGTATCTCTACATAATAATCCATTTACTGGATATTCACGTTATAGTCAATAACTGAGTGTGTTAATGAGAAGATGCCATCACTGCGGTTTTAAAACGATGAAATCTATCTTCCTGTTTTTAAAATGTACTTTAATAAGTACATAATAAAATGTACTTTAAAATCCCTTTAATAAGGGATTCGAATGTAGTATACAAGATGAAAAATGAGAGAGCGGTAAGCTGCACTTATCATAGGCATCAGCTGTTTTATTGACAAAAGACACAAATATGAAATTTGTCTAAATAATTAGACTTTTAATTAGTGCATCATTGTAAGATTAATGTCATCCACTTCATCGCATATGACTTCTTATTAGAAATTTCATGTCAACAGAGATGCTACCTGTGGTTTGCTAATCTGAATCCTTAATTTATCACTTGTGTGTGTGGCATGGCACATATTTGTAGAGGCAGACATGAGCCAAGAGAAGACATTTGACCATGGGTCTGCTGTGCTGAGGAATACTGATGATGCCATGCTGTATGAATATATTATGGTTTTCCCCATTCAGCGGTTAGGCTTCAATTACACATTGGTGAGCACACAATAGTTCTTGTGTTAGCCACAGCATGAAGAGGCCCTGGAGGGTGTGTATGATTGTCTGTGTCAGCTTTGAAAATGCTCAAATATTATTGGTGTTTTTCTTCACCTGGTTTTTCTTTCCTTTTGACAGTTGCCGAACAAGCAACCGGAAAAGTTTGATAGGCAATGGCCAATCACCAGCATTGCCTAGACCACACTCACCTCTCTCTGCCCATGCAGGTAACTGATGACTCTGTCTTGTCTTATTTCTTTTGTGATCTTTTAAAAAAACAATCCAGAGCTTCTTAGACCCACATGTGTCTTTTTATCTCCCTAGGGTTTCCCTACAATTTTACTCCTAAGTTCTTTCTGAGATAGCAGATTAGAATTCCATTGTATTTCAAGCTCTTTGTAATTAAATTTTCTCTGTTACTAAAATTTGTAACACTGTCAGATCTGTATATCCATTAGGAAATATCTTTAGGGGTTGCAAACATGACTGAATGAGGAAGAAAAATGTTCAGAAAGGGTCAGCGTGGTCCCACTAAAACTGAACTTCGTGAATGTATTGAAATAGCCAGTCATTGTCTAGTCCAGTGGTTCTCAACCTTCCTACTGCTGTGACACTTTAATACAGTTCCCCATGTTTTGGTTATCCCTAACCATAAAATTATTTGCATTGCTACTGCATCACTGTAATTTTGCTCCTGCTAAGAATCATAATATAAGTATCTGATATGCAGCATATCTGCTATGTGACTCCCAAAGGCGTCATGACCCACTGGTTGAGAACCGCTGTTCTAGATCATCAAGGTGCAGGAGAGGCTGGAGATCTCATGTCCTTACAGAATTATTAGGAAGGTAGAAGCATACGCTTAAAACTGTTTGGTAGAAATGGTTTCCCATGCTTTTTATTTCAAATCTGTCTAAAGTGAGGCAATGAGGAGAAGGCTTATGCTAACTGAAAAGTTTGTAAGAGTTTGAAGAAACTACTTGACCAAGATGTTGAAGATGGCTAAGATTTGAGCAGGGCAAGTAGCAAAGGGATGAAAGAAAGAACTCTCCTAGCATTTGGAATGGTCATGCTTGACATATACTAAAGAAACAGGAAAAGGGGGCACTTTGTGCCCACACATAGTAATTGATTTCTACTTACACATTTTTTTAAGATATAGCAGTGGCTCCGTATGCTTGTGAGAATATGCCATTAACTATTATTTAATACACCGATCCATTTTTTATTAATCTGGAACATGTACTTAATGAGGAATGAAATTAGTATTCAAGATGAAAAATGAATGCTTGGTGAGGCACAGAAAGATGGAAAAGCAAGTGAATGTTGAAGAATAGAAAGGTTTTGGGCTTTGTCTTTTTAGGATGTAGAAGGAGATCTGGCTGTAGGAGTTATGTTCACGATGGGTTCCTGGATGAGGTAGTAGCCCTGCTTCCATGGCAACAAGTGGAAATTCTAGTGTGTGATGCCAGTGAGGTCTTGGTTTCAGCACTAAGTGTCTGGCTATCCAGCAGTGTCGGCTACAGAGGTCTTTGCAATATGAGATGAAGCTGCCTCTATGGGTAGAAGGAGAGAAAGACAGGCAGATGTTCCTATGAAATGATATTTTGTCCTTAATTATTACCAGAACTAAAAGGTGTCACAGGGTTTGTGGGCAGTAATGGTTCTTGCCACCAATCCTGATGACCTGGGCTTGACCCCTGGAACACACACGATAGAAGGAAAATCGGTTGTCACTATGTGCCCTCTGACCTCTAAAAATGCTTGGTTACACCCATGTGATATGCACATGGGTGCACATACACACTAAATAAATAAATGTAAAAATTAAAACAACTTTCAAGTTGTCTAGGTGAAAGGGAAAAAGCAAATTGATAAATTATGATACAGTAAAAGGACTACAGTGTCCAGAAACGTTTCCTCCAGTGACAGCTCTAGAGGAGGGGCTTGTTACCCTCCAGCAGTGGAGGCTTTCACCATTCCTCAGCATTTCAAGCAGCCTAAAGTTTAATCAGTTGGGAAATGGGTAAGTGAACTATGATCCAGTCATATGGAGAAAACAAATTAACTAGGCGTGCACATGTCTATATAGATGAAAGTCAAATATAGTATTGGGCAACAAAAGCAAATTGAGAAAGAATATTGCTTAGCCATTCAACCATTCACATGAAATTAATGTGATGCTGGGTATTGTTTTGTTTAGGAATATATCACATTATATATATGATGTGTAATATTTAACAGTTTGTTTTATGTATATTATACATATATGTATGTAAGCCGACAATGACAGCTTACATATATATATGTATATGTAATATATTAATTGAAAATACATTTTTTCATATAATAATTATGGTTTCCCCTCCTTCATCTCCCAGATCTTTCTCATCCTTTCAACTCCATACATAGCTTTCTCTCTCTCTCTCTGTCTCTTTAGAAAATAAGCAGGAAAATAAAGAAATGAACAAACCAAAATAAAGAAACAAAAAGGAAGGAAGGAAGAAAAAGTATGAGAAATGCATATACATGTGCACACATACTTGGGCACACGGTTGTGCGCGCGCGCGCGCGCACACACACACACACACACCCCACACCCCACACCCCACAAAGATACAAAATCAGAAACCGTAATATACAAGCAAAAGACTAGTAAGGTTTAAAAAAAAAGACCAAACAAAGCAATATGAGACAAAAAAAATTCCAAAAATACTATTGGGTTTATTTCGTGTTCTACTGCTGGGCATAGGGCTTGCCCTTCAGTGTGGTTTGTATACCCAGTAAGACTTCATTGGAAAAATTAATTTTTCCTTTGCAAGTAGATGTCAGTTTGAGATAACTTATTGGTTAGGAATGGGAGAAAGTGTCCACTTCTCTTCATCAGTTCTGGGACTTGGACTGAGTTGGGCCTGTGTAGGCCTGGTCTTTGTATTTCTGTCAGTCCTGTTGGGTCTGGAAGGCACTGTTTCCTTGATGAAATCTGTCCCTCCCTTCTGACTTTTCCAGTCTTTCTGCCTCCTCTTCCACATAGTTCTCTGAACTCTGAGGGGAGGGGTTTGATACAGACAGCCCATTTGGTACTAAAGGTTTTACTTGGTGGTGAGAGATGTCTAGTTGGAGGTTGGTCTCTGCCATTATTTGGTGACTCCATTTAGAGGAAATACGATAATTTTAAGGACCAATTTTATGATAGTTACTTTAGAGAAGTCAGAGGGAGGCTTACAAGAAGAAACAGGATGAGGCAGTTGGTAATTTTACATATTTTCAAAGCAGTGTAATGAGTTAAGTATGCAATTATTTAAATTATTACTTTGATCCTTTTCTTTTTTGTGAGACAGGATCTCACTATTTAGCACTGACTGGCCTGGAATTTGCTCTGCAGATGAGGCTGGCTTTGAACTCTTAGAGATCTATCTGCTTCTGTTTTGAGAGTGCTGGGATTAAAAGTACATGCCACTACACCCATATGGATCTTAACATTTTTGTTACATGATTGTCAATAGATGAAGCCTACAGAAGGTCAGGGAAGGACAGATTCCCTGGGTCCTGGAATTGTGTGCAGTAAACCATTCTATTCCTCTTGCATCCACCCTAGCACCTGGTAGTCTTACTAGGTGCTAGTGAATGATAGATTCTGTTTGTTAAGTATAGCTCAACAGTGATTTTACTGTTGTGGTGTTTGGTCCTCGTTTCCTAACCTTTGTGTGTCTGTTGACTAGTCTTTTATTGCTTTGATTTTCTTCAGCTCTAGTAGAGAGAAGAGAAAATATGTGGTTAAGATTTTAATGATCATTTAATTGTTTTGTTTTTCCTGTATTGCCTTAGCTTGACTTTTTTATTTTTCACCTCAGCATTGGTTTTATAATGTGATCTGAGGTGTTTGAGCAGGGAGAGGTGTGTTGCTCAGGGTCTGAGTATTTTTCTTTGTTATGGAGCTAACAGGTTGCTACTCAGAGGCAGTAGACATCTGTCAGATGTCTTGTGAGCAGTGGCATTTATTGCAATCTGCCAGATCCCTATTTCTGGGTAGTAAAAAGGAAGAAGATGTAAATGAATAGAAGGCCAGTACTGGTGTCTTGCTGGTGTGTGCCTTGTTACCTCCCATGGCTTACCTCTTCTCTACTGTGGCTTGTGTTTGATCCAGGATGAATGGTAGGGATGGCTAGGTGTCACCATGAGAACAACAGAAAGAAAACCTGCTGTCTCTCAGGCGCTATTAACCTATCATATACAGCCCCCCCTTTTTTCCTAAGGGAGGGAAGTGTGGCTGATCACTGACTGGCACATCTTGCTTATGTATCCAGTGCTGATTATTTGCATTAATTATTTGTGTCAGGAGACTTCAGCAGAAGAGAGGCATTCATACAATGTTTTGAGGAGCCAGCAGTTCCCGAAAGTACAATGAGCAGGGAAGTCATTTAAAAACAAAGGAGAAAAGGAGAAAAATGCCAGGCTCCCAGGTCTAGGAAGACTCAAAGCACTGAATATCATTCAGAACGCCCAGTGGAAGATATTAGTGTGCATTTCCCGAAATGAAAAATTATGTGTAATAAGAAAAGTGAAAAGAAAAGCAAGCATGGAGCATATGTTTGTCTATAAGTCTTTGCCCACCTGATGGCTTTAATGCACAAAGAGCTGGTGTAGATAGATAGCAAGTGCTGAATGGGCTAGTAGAAAATGGTATAAATAGCCTATCATGGGAGAGGAGGAGACTAAAAAAAATTTTTTTTCTTGACATATAATGTCACTGTTATCCTGAAACAAACTTGAGCCAAGAGAGTGAGATGGTGTTACTTACCTAGAGTAGGCTACAGTTTTCATTTGTTAAATCCAATAACAACAGTGAAGATGGGAAGAAGACAGTCCATTCTTCATGCTGCAAGTGTTGGTGTGAATCAGTCCAGTTGCCATGTTAATTGTTTGTAGTTTTGTTTAAAATATGAAACTGTATTTACCCTTTGACCAGATAAATCTATATTTGTGAATATTTCTTACTTATATTCCCCTAGGACAATGGGAAATTATTACATGCTAGCATTGCTTATAACTAACAAGTAGAAGGGTAAGGTGTTATTACTTTTCTATTTAACCTATCATTGGGTGATAAGCTGGTATATAATCAGGTATATAAGCCAGCAGATACTGTAATAAAGGAAAAAAGATACTCAAATAAGTAGGAAAAATTGCATGTTGTAATTTCATACGTGTGTGCATTGTAGTGTAT